TAAAAAATAAGGAATCAAGCCAGCTTGGAAAATCCAATCTGATGGTTTTCCTCTATTTCCAATATTCCCTTTTCTTTCTCTCTGTTTTTCAGTTTGTTACATTTGTTTCTTTGAGATGTAAGTGCCTTTTCATTAGTTATATTGTTCCTTTTAAAATTAAGTAGAAGTAACATTAACCATGCTGGTTGCTACAGTGTATTTCTCCTTGCACAAATGTCATAAAATACATTTCAGGAGTGATTTTCTTTGTGGCCATTAGAATACCATCATAGTTTATTTATTTATTTATTTATTTATTGGCAATGGATTGGTATAGAGTCTTTCCCAGTAATCTGGAAGGCTTCATTTGTTGCTATAAATATGTTTGCATGGCTAGAAGTGAATTATTATAGCTGTGTAAAGAAAATCAAAATCAGTTTCTTAACAATGCTGATTCTCTTGATAAACTACATAATGAATGAGAAACAAAAGATCATTCAGTATCCCTGGGATATTGGTGCTTTTAGCTGGTGCTTTAGGTTAAAATATATGCTTTAGGTTAAAACATGGTGTCAAACATCACAAATAGGCTTAAAATATTTGTATCTGAATGAATGACTTGGGCAGGAATACTATTAAAACAGCATTTGAAAGAATAGGCATGCTAATAGGGAAAAAATTGGCACAACTTCATTTTAAAAAAATAACCAATGATAATCCTAGCCTTCACTTTACTTCAGTTGTATGTGAAACATTAAGGGGGTGGGGCAAGGCAGACCCAGCTGAGCTACTATGATTTTGATTGAGCTATTAAATATTTTCATGCATTTATGTTGGCTATTATGAGTAGTTTAAGGTTTGTGTTGTAGCCGAACTTTAAAAACGTTACATAACACATTGTAATTGTAAGCAAGAGCTCGGTTATCCCATATGCTTGTGCTTGCCCAGACATGAGATAAGTGAAACGTGTGAAAAAGTGAAACTTGTGCAAAAGTGAAAAGGAGGTGATTGGGGTAAATGCTATGCCTTTTCCCCACAAGTCGCACTAAAAAGCATGCAAGGTTTAGCTTGTTTGAAATTCCTTAATCTGAGAAAGGAAATAAGGAATAAAATCATAGCTCCTAAGGGGCAATTTTACTGGGGAAAAGTTTTCTACTTCAAACTACAAAGAAGGGACGTGTAATTCATTTTTAGTAAAACTCATTTTAAGTTTCCAAGTTTCGTGTTTTTTTTACTCTTTTGAGAACTCGCTGGCTGACAACCTCAATACCCTTGTGTTAGGATCGCTATGGCAACGGCAGGCAGTTTGCTGGGGCCTGTGACTCGGAGGGACCTGGGGCGATGGAGACCGACTTTGACGGCCCAGACGAGGGAGGTCTCTGAGCGAGCGTGGCAGGTCGTCAGGGGCCCACACGCGCCCGCCTGCTGCACGCGTCGGAGACCGAGAGCTCGTCCTGAGCGCCGGCCCGCGCGTCCCGGCTCCGGCTCCGCCGCCACCGCCTCCGGGGCGCGGGGACCCCGGGGACAGCCCGCCCGCCAGCAGGGGCCCTTTGCTATTTTCTGAGATGTACATATCTATTTTTTTAACCTAGAAGTTGTGGGGGCGGAAGGGGGAGAGGGACTCGTGGTTGATCAGAAGGCAAAAACGCTCGCGACGCGCACTGCGTAAAGAACGCAACCCGGACCGCAGCGGGCGACCGTCCTGGCCGCGCCGGGGTCCCTGTCCCTGTCCCCGCTGGTGGGCAGCGGCCTCGGTGCGGGGGAGGAGGCCCTCCTCTGCTTCTGTACGGGACAGCGGCGGGAGCGCCGAGAGGTGCTTTTTTGCAGGGTCGCCACCCACCGCGGGGGGATGCAGAGCCACGCTGGCGGGCGGCCGCCACGGGGAGAGACGACTGTCCCCCCAACACCCTGCGGTGCCCAGTAAAGTAACCTGTTGAAGGCTCTTTGTAAATAAATCGTGAGTCACACTGACTAGAAGTTACTTTATTGTGAATATTTAAAATGTAAAATGCTTTTTTGAATTTCGTATAAAAGGATGGGATTCCTCCTCCGGCTAACCCCCTCCCCCCTTTGAAGAGCTATTCAAACCACACGTTCTCCTTTTATTGCCTAATTTGAGAAGCGTAGAAAAGAATGTTATCGCCCTCTCCCCCTCCAGAGCCCCTCGTTTGGATTTGTTCAATTTTACATTTCTCCCTTCATCTTTTCCTGCCTGGCCCTGCCCACCCCCTGCATCTGCCCCGGGTTCTCGAACCGAGGACTTGTAGAGGCGGGAACCTGGGAGGGTCTCACGCCTGCCTCTGTTCTGTTCCTCTCTGAAATTGCACAGGTCGTTTGTTGCTATTTATTAGTGATTTAATGAAAGTATTGGGGAGGGAGGGGCTACAATAGCTTGTATTTAATTTAACTCCTTTCTGATAAAAATGCGTGTAAAACTAGGTGGTGGGAATTGTTACAACCGCCCTGGGTCGGAAACAAACAATCCATTTAGTTGCTGTCATTGGATTTGAAGTGTTTTGTATCATAAGAATACTATAGAATATGTAAATTGTTTTCTTTTTTTTAAGCTAATAATGGTGATATATTAGCATCTTTAACCTTTATTAATTTATATAAGGAATTCGGTTTGTAAAGAGAAGAACACCCCCTTTGCAAGACCAGTTAAATGTAATGCACTTTCTGGTTCAAAGGATAAATCAAATTAAAAAAAAAAAAACAGTTTCAAGATGTCTGCTGCCTTGAATGAAAGGGAAAAAAAAGATCTTACATAATAAAAGTCAAGACCACAGAAATGTTATATCGGTTTCTTGGGTAAAATAGCGATTACTTGTTTACTCTCCCCCCCTCTGTTTTGGGAAGAGAGAGATTGCATCCTTCATTCTCCTGCCCCACTGACAGTGCCGAGACTTGTCTAGTGGGCTGTTTCTGATGTCTGTGTTGTCTAATTTTTTCCTGATCGCTTTTTCCTTTTCTAGGAACTCCCTGGGGGGTTTTGGGAAGACCTCATTTCCATACATCCGAGATAGCGCCGCAGTCAGCCCCCTAGTTCGATTTGTGTAGAGGAAGCGGCAGCACCGCGGTTCCTGCTGTTTCCGACGGACCCTGTAGGAGTGCAGAAAACAGTGGAGAGACTGAAGCCTTGATTTTGCTAAACATTGCAGCGAAGAAGGACCAATGTAAAGAAAGCTTCCTCTAACGGATGTGAAAGTCTCCAGGGCTAGGAGGCAATGGCATAGCGTCTCCAGCTAAATTTGCAAACGCATTTGGGAATCCTAGGGAGAGGTCTCTATCTTTTTGGTTTCACTCAGTTACAGGCTCAGTGAAAGAGCATCATACCCTCAGTGTTTCAGGTTAATGAGCTTGTGTTCAAAGAGAGAAAAATCAATAGAAGACAGTAGATTCTTCCGGGCTACTGTTAGGTAAAGTGTGGGTCTGTTTTGTTCCCTTAAAACCAAAAATTTCTGGTAAAAAGACATTGTCACAAATTCAACAAAACAGCCTTGAAGGAAATTATTGCAGAATATAGTTCCGATAGTGTGCTTTAACAGAAAGGATAAAAATCTGCTCCCTTGTTTCTCCTTCGGTTTGCAAAGTTCTCAAGAAGTTTCAGACTCTTCTGAATTTCTCTTAGCAAGCCGAACGTATGTGTCCCGTCCCGTCCCGTCAAGAGGCAGCTGTTTGAAAGATTTCCTTGCTGGGGGGATGTGATTTCAGTCCCGGCTGCAAGCAATAAAGACTCCTTTTCTCCCTCTCTTACTCTCGTCCTTTCCTTCTTTTCTCCCTCTCACTCTCTTCCTTTCCTTTATTTCTCTTTATGAAAAGACTGGGGGAAGGAAGGGAGAGAGAGAGAGCCTATGATACTGCAACTTCATTTTATTACTTGTTAAGTCGCAACAAATGAAAACTCTGGTTTCTACTTTATTTTTTAATCTTTACTCACTGTCTTCTGTCTTCAAAAGTGGAGGAGATTTCTACTTCTTCTTAAGAAAAAAAAAAACAAAATCTGACTATGTAAGTAGAAATGTTATTCCTGGAATATAATAAGTTATTAGTATTATTATTAGAAGTAATAGAGTAGTATTAGTTAGAGAAAACTCGAAACTAAGACTGAAGCTCTTTCTCAAGAAGTAGGCTGATGGTATTTATTTCAAGTTAGACGTGTGGAAAGATGCCGATCAGAAATCCTTTAGAAGTATCCTCTCTGAGCTCTTCGCCTTTATGTTTGGGTAGCAGGGAGGGGTGGACGCTGGTGGGCTGGAAGCTGCCCCAGGCTGACGAGCAGGGGGCGGCCAGGTCTCTGAGCTTGCTCTGGGCAGCCTGAGCACTGGTGTGCCCCAGCCGTGTGGGTTACAGCCAGAGTCGGCTGGGGGGCCAGGCTGCACTGGCATTTGCTCCTTTTTTCCAGCTGACTGCAGCAGTGACTTGAGGTTTCCAGTTAATTTACTTCCATCCAGGATTCCAGCTGGCCACCAGTTGCAACCGGCCTCATAAAACTGGGAAGGAGGCCGAAGTGGGTGGGGGACACCTTACCTAATCCCTTTCTCTTGGATGGTTTGGTTAGGTTCCATGTGTGCGATGAGAACAGTTCGTCATACGAGTTAGCAAGGTGGGGAAGCTCAGAAAACACGCTACAGCTCAAGCAACAGAGAGTAAGAATCAGTTTTCATTTGGGCTCAAAGTATGTGTGGCATTAACAACCAGAAGCATCCGATTAAGGCTGCTGACCAGCCATTACAGCTCAAGGGGGTCATGATTTAAAAACAAGAAGTCACAGCAAGTGGCCTGCCTGGTGGACCACTGCTTTTAAAAATGCTTAGAGGAAACAAAATGTCAATGGTGAAAACAAAAAGAGAAAAACAGTGTGTGTCTGTGTGTGTGTGTGTGTGTGTGAGTGTGTTGAAAGGGAGGGTAAAACTGTTTTTCTCCATTTTGCTTTTTGTGTGTATGTGTTTCTTTTCCTAAAAAGGAGAAGTCAGCGAGGCTGCGGCTGCGTGAGTAGAGGGTGGAAGAGAAGGGCACTCACTGTCTTTCAGCTGTCTCAGTGACATTCCCGGCTCCTACTCACTTCTCTTCATAGATCCCCAAATCCATCCTCACTTGTAGTTGGTGATTAATTTTCCCTTTGGTTCTGTTCAGGATTCCATATCTAAAAGCTCAGCGCCCCTCTCCCGGGAGCTGTGTTGTACTGACTAGCTTCCCAAGTGTGTGGACACTTCAGTCCACTTTTCCTCCCCTTCTTGGGAGATAGTGGGAAGAGGGGAGAATCAAAACAAAATCACTCATTCTCTGGAAATTTCCTCAGCGCTCAGAGGGCAGGCAGTTAGAACTGGAGGTTACTTCTTGGAAAGACTGCCTTGGGTAACAGGGACCGATGGTGCCTTTAAAACCCACTGGCGCCTTCTATCAGGTAGGTGGGTGTATTATCAGACCAGCGTCAGCTCAGGGAGATCCACACCACTGTCCTATCCTTTAAGCTGTGATCAGTAGATGGACACACACACACACACACACACACACACACACACATTCCACTTGGGAACTCCTAGCACTGAATAGCTTAAAGAGACAGTGGCTCCTTTGTTCGTCATTGACAATAGGATTGTGTAATAACAACGGAGGTAAGTGGTAGATTTCATCTATAAACTCTATTTTAGGCTAATTTGAACAGGCTTCTCTGTACTAAATCTCTTTCTTCTTACCATGCACACAGACATATGCAAAATGTGCCACTTCTTGCTCCTCAGAGTGACTTAAAAAAAAACGGTTCTTCAGTACACTTCTTTATTGACAAGAAAGTATGTATTTTGTTCTGCAGCATTCAGACTGAACTTCAGGAAGAAAGTCAATCTCCCTAATGGCAGCCCTTTTGAAGATCTGTAAAAAACACGGTAATGTACCCTCTCCAAGTACATGGTAATGCCCTCCCCCCAGTCTATTAATGGAAAGTTTGACTGTGGAGTGGTGAGTGCCAAAGGGATGGAGTTTCTGCCTGAAATTTAGTCTTGGATATTCCATAGATTGGCTTGGAGCTGTTCCAAAAACTGGAAAGTCCATCTGAGAACCTGGGTTTACTCCCTGGTCTTCCTCTCTGCTCCAGCATTGGTATTGAAGGCTGAAGTATGAGGCCAGCAGGTGGCATGGTGATTAAGGGTGCTGAACTCCCACATGGCTGACCATGGATTGAGTCCCAGGCCTGGCAGCTTGCTTTCTTTCTCACTTTCTCTCTCTCTCTCTCTCTCTCACTCTGTCCTTCTCTAGTCGAACTGAAATAAATAAAGTTAAGTAAAATAGACTAGCAGCAGTTGGTTTAATGGCTATGTCACTGGACTCCCATGTAGTCAACAATGGTTTGAATCCCAAACCTGGTGTCTTAAATTCATTCCGGG